AATACTTAACATGTTTCACTTATCATCTATACTAATAATAAAAATAAAATTCTACTTTTAGAACTTCCCGCTCAAAGTACCTCCCAAGCTATTACTATATAAAATCTAATAATTATTATAGTGAATAATAGCTCAATAAATGTGATAACTTATATATATATATATATATATATATATATATATATATATATATATATATATATATATATTGCATGCTGAATTGCTAATATAATTAAGACTATTCTTATCCCAGCAGTTTTCTCTCACTTTCTAAAATGAGTCCCACTTCCACATCATCAAATTTATAAATTATCTACTATTTGTTCTACATTCCTGCAATTTTCTCTCACTTTCTAAAATGGTCCCACTTTCATATTATATTATAAATATAATAATAAAATAATAATAAAAGAAATAAATAATAAATAAAAAAAGCAAAAGTTGCCTCATTGGCGCAACTTTTACTGCCCATCGCATAAAAAGCTGTCAAGCAGCAGGAATAGCAAGCTTGCTATTCCTGCAAGCTTGCTAGCCAAGTGGCAACAAAAAAAATGAAAAATAACTTTAACAATTCCATGTCACTCTACACATCATCTTGCAAGTGAGTGACTTTTAGGGTTAAGGACAGCCTAACACTAAAACCAGGATTTATGTACTCCATCACTTATTATATTATTTTTATTATTTTTACATGATTTATTGTAATTTTCACTATAAATTTTTGTATCTGGAAATAAATAAAAAGTTGTCACAATTAGATTAACCCTATAAAAGTAATTTTATATTAATTTGTATAATTACATTTTGTACTTTTGTTACCCCTTTCTTATATTTTATACTAATTCGTAACCTCATCACCTCTAGTTCAAGAAAAAAAAAAAATCAATCTTTTTTTTTTGGCACAATACTTTCAATTCAAACATAACTATAATACTATCTAATATTTTTTGCCCGCATGGGTAGCTCAACTGGTCATAGAGGTAAAACTTTGAAAGAATGACCAGGGATCGAGTCTCACCAGCCGCAGTGAGCACCGGTCTAGCCTAGCAGTGTGGGAGCAACCTCTCAAAGTGAGGGGGGCTCCTTGTGCGCAGTGAGCACCGGTCTAGCCTCTGTCATTAATGTTCAGTTGAGTCACCATGATTTACATTCTCCTAAATAAATTATTAATAACCACCTTAAATCAAATCTCAGTAGAAATTGGACAATGATTTTCTAGATAATTTTTTTTTTTTTTTAAATGCCGATATCTTTCCGTCCAAATAATACTAATTAAATATCGTTCCCATCCAATCCCACCTTCATCATGCGTTGTGCATTGAAATTGCTCATATTTTGTCTTATTATATACTCCGTAGCATACAGATAGGAAAAAAAAAATGACACTTAATTGTTTCCCATTATGACAGCTAAGTTTGCATTTGTTTGGTGATATTGAAATTTAAATTAACTGAAATTAAGAAAAAAAGAATAGATTTCAATCGTAAGATCCATGAAATAAGGAGTGAGGATTATTAGAGAATTATTGCAACGTGACGAGAAATAATTGTTTTTTTTAAAGTGTGACTCACTCTATTAAAATGTAGTATTTGTTAGTATATATACTTTTTCAACTTATTGAAACACAAAGAGTCGATGCTCTCAAACTTATAACCTCTAATTTGATAAAGTCACAATTATATCGCTTGACTATAAAATCTTTGGCGGTTTTATATAGCTTAAAATTTTTAATTGTATAAAAAAGGAGTGGCGTAATATAATGCAAATGAAAGTCCACTAAATCAGAGAGAAATTGCTTAGGAAAAGGAAAACATGTGCATATTTTATGACGAATTTTGATTAACAAGCTAACTCGTAGGGATAGCAATGTGTCGGAATGGATCGGAGAGCGTTACATCTATCACTCGATCCATTTTATATTTTTTTTACCCACCCTTATCCTTAACTCGCATCAGGTGACCTTTTTCAAAATTTACCCTAGCCCATCGGGTGCGGGTGCCCACTTCGAATACCCACCACTTATAATCTTGTTATTTTTTTTTAAAAAAAATATTTAAATTACTTACCCATAATAAAATAATAAAATTCATTAGTTATATTAAAACATAAAATAATAGAAATATTTAAATATAATAACTAAATTAATAATTTTTAAAAATAAACTTAGTAGTTTAGATATAAAAATAGTAAAAATTTACACGAAGTTATGAAAACTTTTATAAATAACTATATACTAATACTTTTACTATTTTATATATATACACACACATGGTGGGTTGGGTAGAGTTTTAGGCGGGTTTTGTACATAAAATCCGAATCCAACCCGACCCACCGCGAGTTTACTTTTTTAAAATCCACCCACCACCCATTATCACCCAAAAAAAAAAAAAAATCCCGACCCATGCGGTGTATATTTGGGTGGATATCCGCGGGGCGGATTGAAATTGTCATCCCTACTAACTGGGGCATGCTTATGCTTGATCAAGTGATCAACATCTGAATAATATTAAAGGTGTGTTTGGTTAACAGAATTGGAATCGAAATGTGAATCAAATACTTGTAATGTTAATGGATTTTGGTGAAAGTATTTTGCAGTTTGGTAGTAGGGTGAAATTAAAATAATTACCAATATTGATGTTTGATTATGTATAACCCTATAATAGGAATAAAGGTTTTAAAAATACAAAAACAACAAATAAAATCAAGATAATTTATCTTAATATAATTACATCCAAAGCACCAATATGAACAAAAGAAAAATCAAAACACTAATCTAAACTTAAAAATCATATATTTCTAATAAGTTAAAATGATACCTAGAGAATAAAGTTTTTAATTGAAAAGATAATCAAATTCCATAATTATGTTTTAAAAAATTGTCAATTAAATACTAACTATAATTTTGATTCTCATTCAGTCATTATTAATGTGTAAATTCATGAACTAAACACACCTTAACAGGGCGTTTGGTTGGAGGAAGGGAATTACGTGGGAATGGAATTGCAATTCCATGGGAGATGAATAACTAGGAATAAAGTGAGAATTTAAATTCCAGTGTTTCGTTTACAGATATAGAATTACTGGGAATTTCAATTTCAATGTTTGGTATACATGAGAATTGAAAGGGAATAAGTAGTATAAAGTTTAAAATGCTCATTGGTGTTGTGGTATTAATTTTAAGTTAAAAAATTGGAAGGGTAATTTTGTCTCATCACTAACTTTTTTTCTTCCTAAAATTCTAGAAATTAAAATCCCACGGGGGACTTGGGATTTTAATTTCATAAAATGGGAGAATTGCAATTCTTTACAATCAAACTAAGAAACTTTATGACCTTTAATTTAAAATTATGTGAGAATTAAATAGAAATAGAATTTAAATTCTCTCCAACCAAACGCCCTATGCTTCCCACGTACGATTTGGCAACAATGGAATCAGAGGGTAGCTATGTAAGCCCTTTCTATTCTCAGACCAGTGTCGGCAATGATATTATATATCCAATCAAATCACGCCACACAACTGCTAATTGTTCTCCTTTTATTTTATTTTAATTTTTTTAAACAAGTGCTTTTAGTACCTTTTTTTTTTTTTTTTTTTTTTTTTTTTTTTGAGTTCAATTCAATCGTTTTGCTTCCTTACCATCTTCTTAATGTATAAATGTCACCCTCAACTATTAAAAATATTGATGGAACTATGGGTGTAAACGAGTCAAGCCGAGCTTAAACTCAATAAATAATAGATAAATTTGAGTTCGAGTTCGAATTTGATCAAGCTCGAGAACTGAAGCTCGAGTTCAGTTTAATTATAAAACGAGTTGGCTTGAAGTTGACTGAGCTCGAGCTTTGAGTGTGTGTATGTGTATAGCTCACGAGCGGCTCGATGAGTCATGAGCCTAAAACATTTGAGGTCGAACTCGACTCGATTATTGAACAAGCTGGCTAGGCTTGACCGAGTGGTTCGCGAGCTGCTCGGCTCATGTACACCGCTAGATAGAACAATAAAGAGTCTCTTATGCTGACACTATTTGTAATAAATGTTCAAACATACATTCTCAACCTGATGAAGCACTAAGAGCCAACAAGGCCTCTACTAAGGCTCGATCTCATGACCTCTCTCGTGAGAGAGATCGCTACATGCCATTTGAACACAAAGTATTTGACAAAGTCAAACTTATATACTATTATTGATAAATATAATTCGTCAAACTTACATACTATTATTGATAAATATAATTCGTATTTAAGGAAGCTAAGACAAGTAATTATAACCCACAAGAAATAGGGTTAAAAACTTAAAATCATCACAATACAATAATACAATTGACTGAATTTAGACGAAGTATACAAAAGCAAACGAAAATAACTAGACATGTGAAATAATTAAGGAATAAAAACCATCATTTTTCTTAATAATTATAAGAGAAAATGACACTTTTTCCCCCTGAGTTATATACTTATAACACTTTTTCCCTCTGAACTATTTAAGTGGTTGTTTTTCTCCATAAAATGTTAAATGGACATATTTATCCTTAAAATAAATATTTCATTTATTTTTCTTCTCCAACAAATTATGACCACAATTTGGTTCAAACAAAACAGACACGGTAGCAACCAAATCAAAATATTTTAATTACAATTTAGAATCGAAACTCGATATTTAGAGTTTATTAAAATCGCGAACCGGGACAGCCGGTTCATGTTCCGAACTAAAAAAAAAATATACATTTATTGTTGAATTTAGACTATTTTAAAATAAAGACGGTTCAAAATCGCAAACCGGATCTGGAACCGCCGGTTCACAGTATTGGAACAGTTATGATGTATCACTTTGTTTGTATACTGTTACAGTCTTTAGCATATTGTTAGAGTCTTTAGCGTAGACTTTTCTGCTCCACCTATTGTGGTGCTGAACCTTACTATATAAGCTTGTATAATCTTCTCCAGTGAATACAGTTTTTCTGAAATATCATTTCATCATTTGGTATCAGCCTAACTTCGGTCCTATGGCCAATCAAAATGATTCTACCCTACCAGCCGGCACAACCACCTCCCCGGTCGGTTATTCCAATCGATCAACTCAAGTTGTCGCACCTGCTAATCGCCGGACATCCACCATGTTGCAGCAAGCACATCACTATGTGTCTATTAAGCTGACAGCCACGAACTATCTGTTCTGGAGAGCGCAGCTAGTCCCTTTTTTGGGAGGCCAGAACTTGTACGGCTGTGTGGATGGCACAAATGCCTGTCCGCCGGAGTTTCTTGGCTCCTCGACGTCCACAGCTTCTCCAACTGTCAATTCGCTTCACGCCGACTGGGTGCAACAAGATCAGTCGATCTTGAGTATGTTGATTTCATCACTTGCAGAGGAGGTTCTTTACCTTGCAATCGGACACTCCACCTCCAGAGGAGTATGGGTTGCGACAGAAACCGCCCTGGGGTCTACCTCTCGTTCCCGCACGTTGAGTCTGTTGACGCAGCTACAAGGCCTTCACCAAGGCGATTCGTCGACGTCCGAGTATCTAGGACTGGCGCAAATCCTCGTCGAGCAGCTTGCACAAGCTCGTTGTTCGATCGGTTTAGATGAACAGAACCTCCATGTTTTTTGGGGGTTGCGGCCGGAATTCCGATCGTTGGTCGCGTCACTAACTACCAAGATTCAGCCGCTTACAATTCTAGAGGTTGCGGACCTCCTAAACACTCACCACTACCTCTTCCCGGAGGACGCCGTACCAACTGGACTCCCTCCGCCGGCAGTCATGGTTGCCTAGCAAGGTTCATCAAATCCCAGAAACAGTCACGACGGTAGTCGTGGTCGTGGCAGGAACCATAGGGGTCAGCGGGAGAGAGGTCAACGAGGTCGAGGAGGCATCCGATGTCAAATATGCGATATTCCAGGCCATACGGCTCTGACGTGCTACCGGAGGTTTGAAGACTTCGGTGGCCAGCACCTTCCTCCCGCACACTCTGGGGTCCATGCCGCATCCCAACCACAAGCGCATGTCGCGTATCAATAGCAACAACACGATCTCACAACCGCCCCTTTTTCGAATGTATGGCTGCCCGACACAGGGGCCAATGCCCATGCGACTCCTAACGTTGAGGGCTTGGCAGGAGTGGAGTCATACACAGGAGGTGACACACTTCAAGTAGGAGATGACTCAGGTTTGGTTATACAAAATACAGGTTCCGTTTCTTTAAATTCACAGTCTTGGTCTTTGTTTCTAAATCACGTATTACATGTTCCAAACTTACGTGCATCCCTTTTATCTGTCCAAAAGTTTACACGAGATAATGACGTGTACTTTGAGTTTCACCCCGATTATTTTTTTGTGAAGGACCGTACCACCTAGCAAACTCTGCTTAGGGGTCCTAGCACGGGCGGGATGTACACGTTGACTCTACCCAAACCAGTTGCCTACTTGTCAGCTAAAGCGTCTCCAAAAATATGGCATGAACGTCTCGGTCACCCACATTCCAGTGTCTTACGACAGGTTTTGTCTACCTATCCAGTTGAAGGATCGTTTAATATTTTAAATAATTTATGTACGTCAAATGGGCAAGTATGCGCGCTTCCCGTTGTCAGGAACTGAAAAATCAAGTCATGCTGTCCTAGATTTAGTTTTTTCCGATATTTGGGGACCCGCTCCCATACCATCAATTGATGGTCATAAATATTTTGTGCTATTCGTTTATGACTTCTCTAGGTTCATGTGGATTTATCCTATGAAACTTAAATCTGATATTTACCACATATTTAATAGGTTTCGTACATTAGTCGAAAAACAATTTTCCCGTCCTATAAAAACTATTCAATCAGACATGGGGGTGAGTATCTTAAGTTAAGCTCGATTTTTGCCACCGCAGGAATACTACACAGAAAATCATGTCCTCACACACACGAACAAAATGGACGTGTGGAGCGCCAAAATCGGCATGTGGTCAAAACAGGTCTAGCTTTATTAGCTCATGGTCAAGTTCCCAAAAAATACTGGTACTATGCTTTTGAGTCAGCAGTTCACCTAATAAACCGTATGCCATCTCCTGTTTCTAATGGTATAAGTCCATATTATCAAGTTTATCGTCAACATCCTAACTATACAATGCTATGCGTGTTTGGGTGTGAATGTTTTCCCTATTTACGCCCTTACAACGCCCATAAGATGGACTATCGCTCCACACATGTGTATTTCTTGGATACCCGAATTCTTTTTATGGTACAGGTATCTGGAAGGAACTCTGGTCGTGTTTACATTGCACGCCATGTTCGCTTCAACGAATCAGTGTTCCCGTTCTCGTAAGCAATCAAAAATCCAATCATTACACCGACAAGTGCACAGTCATGGGCATGAGCCCAAATTCGGCCGCAAGCGCCTCGAGTTCTTACCCAGGATGTGAGGCCATCTCCCAATAGCCAACAACATGTCCCGGTGTTGCCTACATCATCCTCCACAGCAGCTGTGGCGTCATCCTCTTACCAGCTGTCGACCGTTACCACAACCACAACTAAATGGCGGCGCCAACGACCAACAGTTCGCAAACATGTGATGCGCCTGCGCACAACTACTAACGCTCAATGACGGCGTCCAACAGCATTGGTTGCTTCAGTTAATGATGACGAACCCACCTGCCATTCACAAGCAATCAAAGAACCACATTGGCGTGAAGCCATGAACGTAGAATTCAACGCGTTATTGCATAACTAGTCAACCAAACCATGCACCTTGTCCCACCCCGTCCGGGAATGAACATAATAGGGTGCAAGTGGGTATTCCGCATCAAAAGGAAGTCTGATGGCGCTATTGAACGTTATAAAGCCCGCTTGGTAGCCAAGGGGTTCAATCAGATTCCAGGCCAAGACTATTTTGAAACATACAGCTGGTGGTCAAACCAACGACCATTCGACTTCTGTTGTCCTATGCGGTTTCTAACAAGTGGGTGATGCGTCAACTAGACGCGCACAACGCTTTCTTGAATGGGCACGTCAGTGAAGAGATTTATATGCGTCAACCTCCAAGTTATGTTAACCCGAACTGTCTAAATCATGTATGTAAGTTACAACGGTCGTTGTACGGTCTCAAGCAGGCCCCATGGGCTTGTTTCACGAGACTCCATGAATTCTTGGTCCAAATTGGGTTTTGTCCCTCCAAGACAGACGTCTCTTTATTTATTTATGGCTCGGGAAATGTCCGTGCCTATTTACTTGTATATGTAGACGGTATCCTGCTCTTGGGTAATGACCCAACTATGATTCAGGATATTCTCTCGAAGCTTGCCGCGGCGTTCAAGATCTGCGATCTTGGAAAGCCGAGGTTCTTTCTGAGTATTGAAGCCGTTGAGATGGCTGACTCTTTAGTATTGTCACAGAAGAGGTATATGACTGAACTTCTTCGAAAAACAGGGATGGACTCATGCAAGCCGCTAGCTACACCCATTGCTGTGAACACTCAACTTGCCCTGGGTGAATCAGACGCGCTCGACGATCCAACACCATATCGTCAGCTTGTTGGGTCGTTGATGTACCTATTAATCACACGATCGGACTTAGCTTTTGTTGTAAACAGTCTGTGTCAATTCATGCACGCTCCGACACAGGACCACTAGACGACACTCAAGCGAGTCCTGAGATACGTTAAAGGTACGTTAGATCTCGGGCTTCACATTGCTCCCTCAACTACTCCGGTGCTACACAGCTTCTCCGACTCGGACTGGGCTGGTTGCACCATTGACACGAGGTCAACATGTGGCTATGCGGTCTTTTTGGGACCCAAATTACTCTGTTGGGTATCCAGGAAACAATGCACGGTAGCTCGGTCATCAACCGAGGCCGAGTATAAAGCAATAGCCGACGTTGCTGCCGAGGTCACATGGTCCAATCTCTGCTGCGTGAGCTCGGGTTACTACCGTCAACTGTCCCGGTATTGTGGTGTGATAACCTGGGGGCCACCTACTTGTGTTCTAATCCGGTGTTCCATGCCAGGACAAAGCATGTTGAAGTGGACTATCATTTCGTACGAGACAAGGTTGCGTCCGGAGCTCTCAAAGTTAACTTTGTCTCAACTCATGATCAACTTGCAGATGTGTTTACTAAACTGCTTTTCACTGCTCGTTTTAATGATCTTCGTTAAAAGTTTGGCGTTGTTCCTTACCCCCCGCCAGCTTGAGGGGGAGTATTGGAACAGTTATGATGTATCACTTTTTTAGTATACTGTTACAGTCTTTAGCATATTGTTAGAGGCTTTAGCGTAGACTTTTCTGCTCCACCTATTGTGGTGCTGAACCTTACTATATAAGCTTGTATAATCTTCTCCAGTGAATACAGTTTTTCTGAAATATCATTTCATCATTCACAGTTCAAGAATCAATTTTTTTGATTCATAATTTTAATAAACTGAAATCCAAATATTGGGTTCTGAATTTGAATCATAACCGAAAACTTTTAATTCGATTGCTATAGTGTCTGGTTTAATTCGAATCGAATCGTGGTCATCCCTACGTATACGCAATAATTTGTTGGAGAAGACAAATAAATAAAATGTTTATTTTAAGGGTAGAAATGTCAATTTAATATATTAGGGGGGAAAACCGTCACTTTTAAAATAATTGAGGGGCTAATGTGCTTACATGAATAATTCAGAGGAAAAAAGTGCTATAAGTATATAACTCAGGGGGGAGAAGTGACATTTTCCCTAATTATAACGAGACCTTGAAGCATATTAGAGCAACCCCAATAGGAGGTTCATTCTTTGCTTTTGGAACAGTAAGTTCTCCTTTGCTAAGCTGTTGACAAATAGGAGTGGTGGATTTTAGGATTTCTTTCTCGTGCAAGAAAAAAAACATTTGTCAGCTTTTTGTCCCCTTGTGTGGGTCCCTACAAAAAAAGAAGAAAGCAGTAAGATGTGCATGGGCTGCCCATTCGCGCCCAGCCGGGCGAGTGCAGCAGTCGTTATATCGCATGCACCGCGGTAAAAAACGGCGTCGTTTCTTTAAGTAAAGAAACGGCCCGCCATTACCGTTAACGGAGTCTGCATATTTCGTGTATTAAACACCAACTGACACTACAGTATATCTAAACCGACACTGCCTCACGACAAATGAAACTGCAGTTATATCAAAATGATACTGTAGTTGTGGTGAAGTGAAACTGCAGTGTATATAAAATGAAACTGAATAACATTCACATATTTGAGTGTATATTGTACAATGAAGCTGTAATTATATCAAAATGATCATGTAGTTGTGTTTTAATAAAACTATAGTGTATATAAAATAAAGTTAAATAACATTTTCACATATTTGAGTCTATAAATATTGAATGAAACTATAGTTATATCGAAGTGAAACTGTAGTTGTGTTGAACTGACACTGCAGTGTATAAAAAATGAAACTGAATAACAGAGTTACTTTTTGTGGAAGGGTACGGAACGGCGGGAAACGGATGTCGTTTCTTTTCGTTAAACAAAAAGACGTCGTTTTGATGCGCGGTGCATGATCGATCATGCACCGTGGTGCACGATATAATTTGCGCGAGTGCAGTGCACGCACCCGCTGGGCGCGTTTAGTACCTGTAATTTTTTTTTCTTTTTTTGAATTTTCATGGCATTTGGTTGTTTTTTTTATACCTCATTCTCCTATTTTCTCTTTTATAATCACACATACAAAATCTTCTCAAAAATTCCTACTATTAAGCATGTAAGGAGGCATTATCATGGCTCAAACAGCGTGGTGAACAATCGGTTCAAATCTACAAGGATTGCCAGACGTTGCGAAC